ATATATATATATATATATATATATATATATATGTATACCTACAATGTAACCACAAAATTAAAAATTAAAAAAAAACATACAACCTTTGCATCAGAAAACATCACAAAAGAATCTGGTGAAAAACTGATTTCACATATGCAAGTACACAGATTTGTTTCAGACAATTTCAGGGTGTTTGTTACTTCTGAAAACCAATCCATGAACATCAGATTAAAATTCTTATTCACTGTCTTTTCATCTGTACTGGTTGTTAATTATTTGAGGCAATAAATATAAATTTATTACACTTCTATATCTAAAGTTCTTTAAAAATGACCTATTATTTTAATTACTGTTACCTTTTTAAATGAATGCTAACTGTAAATGCTGTTTTTATCTACTTGAGTAGCAATATAATGCTATTAGAACATATTAATATGATTTTCTTTTTAGATGCAGATTTATTTTTTCCATCTTTCAACGGGAATTCCTATTTAGAACTGCCCTTTTTGAAGTTTGACCTGGAGAAGGAACATAACAGAACTGTTACCATCTACCTGACTATAAAAACAAACAGTTTAAATGGAACTATTCTTTACAGTGAGTATTAAATGTCTGATTTCCTATATGTCATGTTTCTTTCTGAAACGTTAATCTATTGAATCAATGAATTATTCATTTAAATATTGTGGGCGAGCTTTTCCAGGCTAGTGTGTGAAGCATTACCAAAAAGAAATTTTAGTTCTTTGTAGTTTCTCTACAAGTTTCTTTAATTTATGACTCATTCAATGGAACGTGACTTACAAACAGGCTCTGAGCCGGCAAGACAGAATTTAGCAAGCATATGAATTTGACAGCATATGGCTATAGCAGTAAAACATAAATGCTGCAAATGTTTCAGAGCATATTTTTTATGATATAAATTACTAAATATGAATTAAGTTCAATACTTGATAACTTGGGAATAGGCATTCCAAAGCTGTGGTTCATTTGACAATCAAATTCCTACCACTCTTTTAGCAACATCTATTATCTTGATATAAGCTGTATTTTTTTAAAAGTGCTATTATCAGTATTTGCTTTAGGAAATGTCTTTACATCCAGAGTTTTCTGCATTATTATGTACTTTGCTCATAAGGGTCTCTATAAGCAGAATTTATGGGCCTCTTTCTTCTCTGAATGAACATCACTAAGGTGTATTATCAGCAGGATTCAAAATATGACAATGGTTTTCTCTTTTGAAATAAATGCACAATAGTTTTAACAATTCCTCATATTGGAGGTGTAATGTCTTTAGTACTTTACTAGATTAACCTCCTTGGGGCAACTTATGATTTCCCAAATGATTTGCTCCTCTACTTTGAAACAGTTTGCTGAATTGATTCATCATTCTGTACATTCAGAACAAAATTTTTTGACTATGAGTAAAATGCCTAAAAGAAGTATTTTGGAAAGCTGGGTGAAGTTAGTAGCTTTTAACATTAAATTAAAACTAAGAATTTATGTTATATTTTAGCAAGAAATCAACTTGTCAGACTAGGCCAGTATTATTTATCCCCCAGGAGCAGAGGCACTCATGTTTAAATGATAGCTTTAGAGTATCTGGTTTATTTATGTTAAAAGACAAAGACAGAAGAAAATACAAAAGAAAAAACTGTTTTTGTATACAAAATCCAAGTGCTGGTAGATGACCATGAAATTTGGAAGTAATAGTGCATTGCAGGAAAAACAAAACAAAAAGACACAAACATAATAATTGAAAGCTACAGAAAAAAGTGATTTTCTGGTTTTGCAATTTTCTAAGTTATATAGAATTGGAAGATGTTTCCTTGGGGAAAATGTATTTTACCAACTAAAAACAGCTCACAGTTAAAGCAGCACCCAACCACTGGGAATTCTCCTGCTCTGGGTTCATGCCTCTGGCTCATGTTCATACCGACACTTGGGTATGTTCTTTGAAGGCCGGAGAAATACATGCCAAGTATATATACACTCCAAGTTGGTACTTTAATTTAAATCCAATAAAAGTCAAGCTGATGATAAAGCCATCGGATCATTACTGCCATCCTTATTCAATGACGTATAGAAACAATCAAACTAGGAATTTAGTAAGAAAGAAATGTCATTGTAATGATTATCAATTTCTACCCTTGTCTTATTTAATTGTTGTTGTTATACTACTGGATAAATCAAAGCTGTTTATTCTAGAGAGTTCCAGAGCCAGTGAAGGGAGAAAATATTTTTGTCTGTAAAGCATTCTTTCTGTGCATTTGTAAGGTGGTAATTTAATCCTACACTGTTGGGAATACCTCAGCAGAATGTTTCCTGGGGTTGCTACTTTCTATCCTCTTAGAATTTTTCAACCTCATAAAAGCCTCACAACAGATGAACACAAAGATTTTTGTAATTCAGTTAGATACCCGTAATTTAAAAGGTGTCCCTTAACTTGACTTAAGGGATAATTATATTTGTTTTGAAATCAGGGTATTACGTGCAGGAGCAATTAAAAGTAGTGAGAAAATTAAAACAGATGTTTTACTTCAGATTTTAGGTGTTGATTTTGTTTGAGTTGCTTTGTTTTTAATTTTGCTGATTTTTTTATTCTTAAACATTTCAGTTCAACTCAATTCCATTTCACAAATATTTTTTGAACATTTATATTTTATATTATCGAATATTTAAGGGACAAGGAAAGAGAACTACCAGGCTGATAAACCAATGTCAGCTTTGAATTATATTCCTGGTTCAAAACTGCAGATTTATTTTGTCTCAGTTTGCTTCACCAACTAATTGATGTTGAAAAGGAACAAAAGAAAGATAAAACTTCAATTCTTATGGAGTTACAGTTAAAAATCCTTAGAAAGGATAGCTTTAAAAAGAACCCTCTGTGGGAGAGAGACAGCTCTGAGAGCAGCAGTCAAGATGAAAAGAAAGCTTTTTGAATCTGGCACTGAACCAATTCAGAATTCTGGAACCCAGTCAAAGGAGCTACTAATAGGTCACGAGAGAAGGGATGAGACCACACAAAATTCTTTAGGTGCACTTTCAGACAATGAGCTCTATTACACAAGCAGTATCAATCAGGAGGTTTCGTCATGGGATATATTACCATGCAGTTGGATCCTTTCTGTGCTGCTGCTTTGAAAAGAAATAAGCATGCCCTGTGGAAGTATGTGATCTTTGAGAATTAGGAGCAGACATCTGACCAAGTCCCAGGAAGCAAATTACATGAGCAACTCCAGTGGGAGGAGAGGATTCAGAAGCAATCATTATATTACTTAATGTTTGTATTTAAAATAGGAAGTAAAAGAAGGACCACTCTTAGATATTTGTTACAGAGAGTAATTGACAGATGAGTGGAATTATTGAGACCTTCTTTATTTTCATTTAGAAAGGACTACAAGAAAAGATTTCTGATACTCCTGGAGAAAACAAATTAAATCTAAAGGGTTGTAACACCTGCCTTTCCCTATAAAATGATTTCCAGCAGAACATACAATATCTTCATTAGATACTTATTATATTCCATTCAAATGATGTGGCAAGGCCAATGAAATCCCACAGCATTTCCTGGCATCGTGTTAGATAGCATCTTCTTTTTTTCTTCTATGGAAAAAGATTGCTCTGTTTTAATCAATTTCATTGTGTGCACCATAAAATTCTTTGAATATCTTTGTCCCTCCTTAATGGTCCCAGTAGAGCTAGCTCCTGACAGATACAAAAAGGAGTAGGTTTGCAAATATGGATGGCTGAATTCTCAAGTCATTCATGAGAAACTGCTTTTCATCATATTTCATCTTTTTTAGGACAGCAAAGCCAAATTCAACAAATTCTGAGTGCCTAAAAAGTACATAGCAGTGTTTGGGCAATGTGAGGGATACAAAGCTGAATAAGTGATGGGCTACATTCCTAGTTTCTCACCTTTTTGTAGATAGGTATGTAATTTTTTGGGAAACCTGATTGTGATATGTCTTAAATTAGAAGTATAAATTAAGAACTGGCACAGAGTAGAGAGATTCATTTTACCAGCAGTCTGTGCTTACATCTCCTCATTAAATAGAAAATACCTTTGTTAGTGTGTTTTCACACTGCTGATAAAGACATACCCAAGACTGGGTAAATTATAAAGAAAACATTAATGGACTCACAGTTCCATGTGGCTGGGGAGGCCTCACGATCATGGCAGAAGGCGAAAGGCACATCTTACATGGCAGCAGGAAAGAGAGAATGAGAGCCAAGTGAAAGGGGAAACTCCTTAAAAAACCATTAGATCTCATAAGAATTATTTACCACCACCAGAACAATATGGGGGAAAAAAAACGCCCCCATGATTCAATTATATCCCACCAGGTCCCTCCCACTAGGAATTATGGGAGCTACAATTCAGGATGAAATTTGGGTGGGGACACAGCCAAACTATATCAGCCTTGTAATCTGGGACTGTTTTGTATTTCTCCTTCTGCAGCACCTCCTAAAAAACCTCCACCAGTGCCTTGCATAAAGTAGGCACTTGAGTGGAATAGTTCTTAAGTTTTATGTCAATTACTCGACCTTGACAGTTTTGATAAAATATAAGTAGGTATTGAATCTTTAGGAAATTATCCCATTGAACATCATTATAATTTCTTCCTCTGACAAATAGAAACAAACAGACACAAAGTTCCAAGGTTTAGTCAAAATGTATCTTGAATCAATGATAGTTTTTTCATGCTTTTAAAAAATCAGGAATATAGCACGGGTTGCCAAGTTTTTCTACAACTATCAGAAATAAATATTTGAAGTAGATGTATTTGCAAGCTGCACAGTTTAATTCTGCCATTGTAGCCTGAGAGCAGCTATGAACAATGTAAGTGAATGAGTGCGGCCATGTTTCAATTGCTAACTTTATTAACAAACTCAGACAGTGTCGGAATTTGGTGCATGGGCCACAGATTGCCAATTCTTGACCTAGAATTATGTGATTCATTAAACTTCATCTAAAATAGAATAATTATATTCTACTTATACAATTGAAATTTATGAAGAAATAAGTCAATGAGGTATACATTTAACCTGTTTAAAACAGTGATTGGCAAATGACAGCCCTGAAGAAAGTGACTTATTCAGATAATGCTTTCACTCTCTTCCTCTTGTCTAGGGAATTAAGGTCTTAGGACACAAGATTTTTGTCTAAGAGGTCTCCTGAGTATTATATCCATTTAACGGCCATGTTCATCCTAAAAACAAGTAGACTAAAAATCATGGTATCAAAAATGGGAGAGTAGGAAAACAGACAATTGGTGGAATTTGGGGTTTTCATTTTTATTCATTTCACTCAAATGAAGAGGACCCATTTCTGTGTTTTTATTGGTTAAACACAATTAGCAGGATTGAAAAGTTTAAAATAGGGTCTCTATAAATTTCAGAAATTGGCCCAAAGCCAGTCTCCAATAGCATGTAATAAACATGGGTGCAATCATTAATTACATATACCAGCCTGCTGCCATGATCCTTCACTTCTCCCCAGAGTGTCTCTGTCTGCCAACGTCCCACTGACAAACTAGCTTACGCTGACGCTGCTTATCATCAGCCTATGTCATCATTGTTGCTCTAAGAGGTCT